TAGCAAAACAACCCATTGTCTTCTTTTGCTTCTACCCTTGACCCCATTGCAAAATAAACACAATTGGATATAATAGGGGGAGAGAAAGGAATAGGAAAATTTGAATGAACTATGTGGTTTAACCTTCCTGAAAGCATGGCTTATGTTTTGAACAATGATTCTTTGTGGTTCCCTCCAATCTTATTTGTGTACAGAACTCTTGCTTGCTACTATGTTCTGTGAAACTGCTACAGGGTTGCATTTCAGTAGTGAGTATGTAAACTAGTGAGTAAACAACACTATTTTGTGAATCTACCTTTATTATTGGAAAAGATGGTGTCAGTACTATCATTTCAATACAGGAATATTCAAAGGCGGTGCATACAGAAATAAACTGTCACAATCATAAAGAGCAATAATTTTAAAATTATTTTTGGCAATAAAAAATAATGTGGTCAGGGCTCTCTGGAAATAAAGTGCATTAGTGATAAATGCATGCTTCAAAGTTTAACTCCTTTTTCCATCCCCACCACCCTGCCAAAAAAAAAAAAAAAAAATGAGAGAGAATTTTTTTTATGTTGAAATTAATCTAGCCTGAAGGATAGGTACCTTCAATGAATGCTAATAAGGAGACTGTGGGAAAAAGAAGGAAAAAGACCCTAAGGGTCTCAGAAACTGCATAAAGATAAAGAATAATTCTAAAGCTGAGGGATTTGGGCCCCTTCTTTGTGAATAAGCCTCTTTAGACTTTGCTACATATTATTTATTGAGCTCCAAAGTGTGTTTGCTGCAGGTGGGTTCTTTTTAAAGAGAAGCAGAAAAATCTAAAATTAAAAAAACAAACTAGATTTAGAATAGTTGAAAAAAGGAAGAAAAAAAAATACCTTAACTTTGATTTAACTATTACCTCCTTAAGGCACATTATTTACTGCCAAATTTGCCACTTCAATGTCACGTGTATTTTTTTGTTAGGTAAGGAACATATTATAGACAAACTGAATTTTTTATTGAAAATCAGAATTGAATGAGTTCAGATAATATCGTTTAACTTTCTTAATTTGCTTTCAGTTATTTGAATTATAACAATTTGAGTTGTAGAGTATGTACTACTTTTCCTTTTCTTTCAGATTAGAGATTAATTTATTTATTGAAATAAATCCATAGCCTCAGTTAAACAAATAGCATTACTAAATATTGTCAGACATATTTGCTTTATACGATATATTTGCAACACATAGATGCTCTTGGTGGTCAATCTTATTTTGGGCTTCAAAAACCATGGCATTGTCAAGTTATCTTAGTTGATGTAGGTTTGAAGATGCGCAAGGGAAGAAGGACCAACGTGCTTATATCTCAGCAACTACTCAGACAGGCAGCTGGAACTGTAATTCACTCAGGACCTGCAATATCCTTGGAGGGTTAACAGCAGCTCTTACAACCAACAGGAGCCCCTGCAGAAGCCTGTTCAGTAGTAAACTTCTGTTGCTTCCTATGAAGAGGACTCTCTCCTACCTTGTGACTGGGCGGATCTTAATCTCTGATTCTTCTCTTTCTGTCTACCCATAGTCTCTCCACTTGTCCTCTCTCCCCTCATGGTATCTGTCATAAGGCTTTTACTTCCCTATGACTTCTTGAAGCCTCAGTGGGTCTCTTGGCTTCTGCTCTATGAATTTTTTCTCCAAAGAGAGCTAGTCACCACCCAACACTGACCACCCTTATTGGACACAGTTTAGTAACAGGCTACTGCATGGGCCATTGGCCAGGGCTTTGGTTCTCCGTATTGTTTCAAAGGTTAATCCTCCCAACTAAGTCAACTGACCCATAATAGCAGGAGGTAAGTGTCAAACAAGCATGAGGGCCTGATGAGTTGGCTTGTTTCTCACAAAATGAGGCTTATGAACATGGAGACCTCGCAGAAGAGGGCATGGTAGGCACACAGGGCAGCATGCTCTCCTTTCCAGTTTTTGATATTAAAGTTAATAATATTAAATAATATTATTTAATGTTTAATGATATTAAAGATAATATTTTGATAATGTTAAAGTTTAAAAATTTATAAAATACAACAATGCTGGTTTCATTCCCTTACATAAAAGTTGTGAGTACTTAATTATTTTCAGGATTTTCCTGCTGTCAACTTATACCTAATTCTCTGTTAATATATTTCTACATAATTTTGATATAGATCTCATATTCATTACAAAAATTACCCTTGTTTTGTTTACTTCCTAACACACAGCATCTTGCAGAGTGCCTGGCATATGGAAGGTGTTAAATAAAAGTTATTCAAATTAAATCCCTGAAATAAATCAATAATGACAAAGATACTTAGGTTGATTTTACTAAGGAGAGCCTCGGCTTCAAGACTGAAAAGTGAGAAAACCTGTTTGGCAGAAGCAGGAGTCCTAGGCATCAAGTCCATTGGCAGGTGCACTGTTAACAGAGAGACAAGAACATTTCCTTACAAGCTCTTAACTTCTTCAGGATTCTAGGAATGGAGGAGGGGGAGAGAGAGAGGAGTATAGCAGAGGCTCCACCAAAAAGTGAATAAGGTGGACATCCAGGACCTTTAATAAGCAAGAGACCTTGCTAGACAATAAAAGACATCTTTCTATCTTAATGGAAGATGAAATACAGTCAACTGTCCCACATGAACATATTCATGACTTGTATTTACAAATATAGTTTCTGTAAATGTTAAGCAAATGCATATTATTTCCAGCAATCTTTTAGAAAATGACATTGTGTCCTGGGGAATTTTGTATAAAGATTCCATTACACTGGCATTATTGGTTATCCAATCCCGAAAAATTAATATTATGTGAAATAAAACACAAATTCAATATTAATAAATATTTGACAAAGCAGTACATAAAATGCACACAGTGAATACGTGACTATGTAAATTGAATGTTTATACTAACCTGGTCACAGGTATGTTCAATAAACTCTTCTATGACAATGTCCTGATCATACACAGGCATCAACTCGGAGTTGTATAGGATCTTACAGGTTTTTTACACAGAAACATTCTGTTCATTCTATTAGGATTGGTTTATTATATGAATACATATATTCATTCTATTAGTTCTATTTGTATGTCTGTATATGTCTCTACAAGTCCTATTTGTTTTGTTTTTTTCAGAGAATGCTGATTAATACAGGTAATGAAAATAGATGTTAACCAGGGATGCCTGGCTCAGCCAGTTAAGAGTCCAACTTTGGCTCAGGTCATGATCTCAGTTTGAGAGTTTGAGCTCCTCATTAGGCTCTGTGCTGACAGCTCAGAGCCTAGAGTCTGCTTCAGATTCTGTGTCTCCCTCTCTCTCTGCTCCTCCCCTGCCCGCTCTCTCTCTCAAGAATAAACATTACCAAAAAACATTTTTTTAATGGATGTTAACTGAGGCACCTGGGTGGCTCAGTAGGTTGGTTAAGCATCTAACTTAGGCTCAGGTCATGATCTCACGGTTTGTGAGGTCAAGTCCCACATCAGGCTCTGTGCTGACAGCTCAGAGCCTAGAACTTGCTTTGGAATTTGTGTGTGTGTATCTCTCTCTCTCTCTCTCCTAAAAATAAATTTTTTAAATAGATGTTAAGTTTAAAAAAATTGCCTTTGAGGGCTGGCAGCCATGAAGTACTTAGCAAGGTAGGACTGAGGTCAGGTGGATACAATACTAAGGACTGATCTGAATGCAATAAAGGCTACTTTTGAAACATAAAATGTTAAGAAGATATATACTATATATCAAATCTGCAAGATGACATAGAAGAATTTAGGGGGAAACTTAGAGCACTAATGCCTAAATTAAAAAATAATACAGATCTCAAAATATTGACGTCAGCTTTCACCAGAAAAATATGGGGTGCCTGGGTGACTCAGCCAGTTAAGCATTGGACTCTTGATTTTGATTCAGGTCATGATCTTACAGTCCGTGAGACTGAGCCCTGCATCAGGCTCTGTGCTGACAGCATGGAGCTCGTTTGGGATTCTCCTCTCTCGTTCTCTCCTTTCCTTTTTTTTTTTTTTTTTTTGTATTTATTTGTGTGAGAGAGACAGAGAGAGACAGTGTGATCAGGGGAGGGTCAGAAAGAGAGGGAGATACAGAATCTGAAGCAGGCTCCAGGCTCTGAGCTAGCTGTCAGCACAGAGCCTGTTGCGGGGCTCGAACCCATGAACTGTGAGATCATGACCTGAGACGAAGTTGAGTGCTTAACCGACTGAGCCACCCAGGTATCTCTCTCTCTCTCCCCCTCCCTCCTCCCCCACTTGTATTTTTCCCCTCTCAAAGAAACTAAGTAAACATTAAAAAAAATTTTATTAAGTTAGAAAAATAAAAGATCAAATGAAATCCAAAGTAAGAATAAAAAGAAAATAATAAAATCAAAACATCAATTGATTAAATAGAAAACAAAAACAATAAGGAATATCTCTGATACCACACCAAGAGATGATTGGGAAGATCAACAAAAGTTATTAAACTGTAGCCAGATTGATTGGAGGAAAAGAAAGAGCACAAATTAGCCATCTCTGAAACGAGGGAGTTGCCATTGTAATGTGGAGAAACAGTATGGCTACTGTATGCTGCCCCTAGTTCCCTGGCTGCTGTGATCTATAGCTTAGAAACCCCTGCTCTGCCCTACACATAGGCAGGTTACAGCTAAGATTTGCAAAGACTACTTTTTACCCCAAATCTACTTCACCCAAGGAGATAAGGAAATGTGTACAGAAATGATTATGCTCTGTTGAAGATTTACAGGATCGACATGACCAAATTCCTATACACAAAGATCAACTGACCAAGGACAAAGAACTTACACAACCTTCACAAGTAGACCCTCAGGTGCCTACGGGTGTCAATGCCTTTTGACTCCAATCCCTTCTTACTTCCCCCTTTTGCTAACATAAAAGAAGTTCGAATTTCATACTGGGAGGTGGTGGTTCCTTAAGAAAAGAATTCACCACTTCCTAGGTTTGCTGGCTTTCCAAATAAAGTCACCTTCTGTACCCCAACATCTCTTACCTCTCCACTTATTGGCTTGTCATGCAGCAAGCAGAGTGAGCCTGGACTCTGTTGCAACATCACTCTGGATTCTACAGATAGTAAAAAGTAAATAGGGTAATATTATTGTGATGGACAGACTTTAAGATGTCCCCCATGATCCCCACATCTTGTGTTCATGACATTGTATAATCCCCTCACCTTGAGTGTAAGCAGGACCTGTGATTTGCTTTTAACCAATGGAATGTAGAGAAGGCAATGGGATGTGCATGATTATCTAGATATGATTACAGAAGAGGATTGTGACTTTCTTGCTGGAGTGTCTCTTTCTTCCTTGCTGGCTTTTGAGAAACAAGCTGCCATGAATCCTACAACCATAAGGAAGTAAATTCTGCCAACAATCTGATAAAACTTGGGTGCAAATCATTCCCTGGCCAAGCCTCTGATGAGAACCCAGCATAGGTCTGCAACTTGGCAATGGTCTTAAAAGACCCTAAGCAGAGGACCCTGCAAAAGACCCAGGCTCCCAATCTTCAGAAACTGTGAGATATTAAATGTGTCTTTTAAGTCACTATTTTGTGGTGATTCATTACATAGCAATAGATAATATAACTGAGTGAACTTATACTCATGCATTTGATAACTTAGACAAAATTGATAATTTCTTTTAAAAATACAACTTATGCAATCTCTCCCAAGAAGAAACAGATAATATATAGACTCTACAAAGAAGATCCTAGAACTAATATATAAGCTTAGCAGGATTTCAAGATACATGATCAGTATACAAAGAATCTATTGCATTTCTATGTACTTGCAATAAGTAATCAGGTACTGGAATTCTTAAAAGTATCTTTTATAATATGAAAAAATATTAAATACCTAGGGTAGGTATATCTGACAAAAAAATATCAATGTCTCTCTAGATTGACAAAATCCTTTATTAGGTGACATTAATGGCCATCCAGTGTTTTCTGCTCAGTCTTCTCAAGCTCTTTAAGATTGTTTTATATGTGTCTAAACTTCATGATAATGTATTCATTTGACATCACTGTCAGAAACAAACAACTATTTTTTTGCTAAATTTGAACTATTTTCAATTATTATGGTAGTTCTTAACCACTGGGCTTTGAGGTCGATGACCTTATTTTAAATTCTAGCATGGGAATTAATAGTTGTATAACCTAAGACAAAAATTCTAATATTTTGTACCTTAATTTCCTGATTTATAAAATTGGGATAATAGTACTTAATGGCTTCAGAAAACAGAGTATTTCTGTGTCAGCTCTGCCACTCTCTTACTATATGAGTTGGGGGATGTTAAATAATATTTCTGGTCTTCGGTATTACCTCATCTATAAAATAGGATAATAAAAATATCTACCTCATAATGTGGCAAGAAGATTGAATGACATAATTGCATACCTGAAACTAAAATAACACTGTGTGTCAACTATACTTCAATAACAAATTTTCCGAAAAAGATTAAGTGACATATAATATATAAAATGATTTACATTAGCACTCAGTGTGCAATAAATGTTAGCCTCCATAGTGTTGGAAAAGGCTGATATACAAGTACAAGGTTTCATAATGTTGGAGGCTACAACTATTTTTTACTATTATCTATAATTGGACCATTTCAAAACTTAGCAAATAATACATATTTGTCAAAATGTTTTTATTTTGTCTAGGCAGCCATTTAATCAAAAGTATGATTTATATTATAAAATTGAGTATCTTTGATGGAATAAATATGTGAATATTTAATATGACCTTGAAATATGAGATACCTGAGACCATTAGGTTGGTTTTTTCTTTTTTAATGTTTATTTATTTTTGAGAGAGCACAAACAGGGGTAGGAGCAGACAGAGGGAGACAGAAGATCTGAAAAAGGCTCTGTGCCAACAGGCTGACAGCAGCAATCCCAATGTGGGGCTCAAACTCACTAACCACAAGATCATGACCTGAGCTGAACTTGGATGCTCAACCAACTGAGCCACCAAGTGCCGTGACCATTGCTTTTTTTTAAACTGTATCCAGCAGTAGACCTTTATTTCAAATAAAACTCTTCTTAGAAGACTAGATACATACATACATACACACATACATACATATGTATATACACATACATAGATCATCTCATGTATATAAAGCAAATAAAATGGAAGTTCATCAAATCATAAGCGTACAAGGCTACATTTAGTGAGCATCTATTATGAGCCAGGTACACTTCTAAAATTGTAACAACCTCATGGTTGCAATAAACATAGCTTACAATCCATTCCTTTGAAACTGTAAGCCACTTAAGGATAAGAACTTTATAATACATATCTTAACCAAATCTTTAGTACAGTATTGGCCACTTAGTGAGCATTAAGTAATATATTGTTAGCTTTGGCTACACAAAAGGATATAAGGAAAATATAAGTGACCCCATAGACTAGCAAGTGGCTATTACTTCATGCTATCCTGAGTACTTCTCAGGATGCACAATGATAGTCCATCTCTGAATGGCCTCGAGACTCCAAGGACTCCTTCTTGAAATTTACCAAAAAAATCTGACCAGCTCTCCAAGGAATAATATTCACTGCCCCAAAGACCTCCAAAGTTTTCTTGGTTAAAGTCTGTGATTGAGAATTTCCCCAAGCACCAGAAATTATGATCTGAGCTAACACCTGGACACAGGCACTCTCTCTATTGTTTTTAGTTTTCAATTTCAAGTTAGGTATCAAGTAAGGGGAAAGTAGAGGGAAAGTAAAGGGAAAGTAGGCAAGGGCATCAGAGATAAGATACACCAGGACATACTTGTCTTGTGTGTTATCTCCCTTCTAAATGCTATATCTCTCTCTTTCATTACTGAATTTCAGGCTCTGTTCTTGAGTACATAATCTTTGATCTATAGTTCTATTGCATTGAGGTTTTTTTTTAATTTTTTAAATGTTTTATTTATTTTTGAGAAAGAAATAGAGACAGCGTGAGCAGGGGAGGGGCAGATAGAGGGAGTCACAGAATCTGAAGACAGGCTCCAGGCTCTGTTAGCTGCCAGCACAGAGCCCGATGTGGGCCTCGAACCCAGGAACTGTGAGATCATGACTTGAGCCCAAGTTGGACGCTTAATTGACTGACCCACCCAGATGCCCCTGTTGCATTGTTTTTATACTACTAATAGTTCTAAAAACAATAAAATGATCTTTTTTTGAGGCTTTATGAGGTGACTGATACTGTGTAAAAATACTTATCAAGCATTATTAAATGCTCTAGTACTCAATAAATATTGGGCAATTAAAAAACTCCAAAAGAAAATATTTTATGTAGAAGTATAAGATAAACAAACAAAACAAATAAAAATAAAATGAGTTTTTATTACAGCCTAACAGTAAGGGCCAAGAGAAAAACTAAAAATAGTGATATCTGAGGTTTGTTTTTAGGAACATAATAAATGAGGGCAAATTAGGAGCAAACTATATTGATTAGAAAGTTATTTTCTGGTTTCAGTATATGGAGGGAGAATAGAAAATTTTAGAGAGCATTATAATCCCTATAAATCAAAGACAATTTCTGAATTAAAGTAAAAATATCGAACACCCCAATTAATAAAGTATAAAGCAATACCATATATTACAGAGGTTACTCATTAGCATACAGATCTGTGATTTAATACTAATCTTTAATTATTTGGCATCTAATCTTACAAGACATCCTTGAGTCTCTACAAAATGAGCTCTGCATACAACTTCTGAATCTCAACAAGGGCAAATGATAATAAGAATATACTTATATACTTCTCCTAAATCTATAAAACCTTTCTTCTAAGAATTGGATAGATGATATTATAAAACTAGTTCAAAAAAAGATTAGTTGGCATTTATTACATAAATGATTATTTATCCTAACATCTTATTTTTACTCTGTTCTTACTTAACCAGATTTATCTGTGACAAATAGCATTGCTTTATGAATAGCCTGAGCCCTGTTTTAACTAAGTGGATCACTGGACTAGAAATAGAGATTCCTGTGCTGTATTTCTAGCTCTGAGTAGTTCTGTGACCTTAGGCAACCTTCTCAGCAAGAATCTCAAATCATCATAATCAAAGCTAAAATGTCATTTTCCATCTACAGGATGTATTACATAAGAGCTGTTAAATGATTGTCTTCCTTTATATAAATATGAGTTATTCCAAATAAAAGTAAAATATAGATTATTTCTACATTCATGTCATACTTAATAACTGGTAATGATTTAGCTTTAATAGGATAAGATCATAAGTTCAAAAAGAATAGAATTTTGATTATTTAGTTAGTAATTCTTATAAAATATATAGTAGCTTTCATGTGTGTATATATAATTCATTTATCTTTGGCTAAATGATCAAAACTATCTTAAATATTAGAGATAAGAGGATTCACAAGTCTTCTGGCTGTTATTGGTCTTGGTGGCTGTAACAAGTATAAGGGTGGGAGGGCAATCAAGAAGAGTGGGCATTAGAATCATAAAGCTTGCACTGCCTCTGCAGTGTACTGTTTGGTGGCCATGGTCAAGTTACATCTCTAGCCTTCAGGAAATGAGGATAATAATACTATCTTAGTATGGTTTTGTTCTCTTTTAGGAAGGTTAAGTGAGTTCATGGATACAAACTGGTACCTGATGCACATGAGGTGCTCAAAAATGTCAAGTTTTGTGGTCTTTCAGGAAATTCTATGAGAATCTTGATCCTTTTATTGCCATATATACCATTAAAAATCTCCCTGTTGCTTGAGATAGCTAGAGTGACCCCCACACCCAGAAGTCAAAAGAGCCTTCCTAATATACTATGCCATTACTTCATGAAGTTCTAAATTGCTGATGGATTTTTTTTAACTTTTAATTTTTTTTATTTAAAATTTATTTTTGAGAGAGAGGAGAGGGGCAGAGAGAGGTGGACAGAAGATCCAAAGTGGGCTCTACACTGACACAGCAAGTCCAATGTGGGGCTCAAACTCACGAGTGGTGTCCCTGTTGATGGGTTTTACTTTCCACATGGATTTTACTTTCTACCACAGATATTGGATAAGTGGTGTTGTATGAACTTTCTT